ATTGAATCTCTTCATAAGAATCAGACATAGGAGTTGGTGAAACCTCTTAAAAGCCAGAAGATTGTTGGTTGCAAATGAGTCTTCAAGAAAAAGGAAGGAACTCTAAGTGTTGAAGATGCAAGGTACAAAGCAAGTTTGTTAGCAAATGGTTATAGTCAAAGAGAAGGTGTGGATTTCAATGAAGTATTCTCACCAGTTATGAAACACACCTCTATTTGCATGTTGCTTGCCATGGTTGCTCTATTTGACTTAGAGTTTGAACAACTTGATGTCAAAACAGCTTTTCTACATGGTGAGCTTGAAGAAGAAATTTATATGCATCAGCTAGAGGGGTTCGTTGTTCAAGGAAAGGAAGAACACGTTTGTTTGTTAAACAAATCCTTGTATGGATTGAAGCAATCTCCAAGGCAGTTGTATAAGAGGTTCGACACTTTTATGGTTGGACATGGCTATTTGAGAAGTAGCTATGACAGTTGTGTCTACTATCGGAAGCTCTCAGATGGTTCTTTTGTATACTTGTTGTTATATGTTGACGATATGCTTATTGCTATAAAAGACATGTCAGAAATCAACAAGTTAAAATCTCAGTTGAATACTGAATTTGAGATAAAAGATCTCGGTACAGCGAAGAAGATTTTTGGCATGAAAATTCAGAGGGATTGCCAAGCTGGTAGGTTGAGTTTGTCACAGAAGAGTTATATTGAGAAAGTGCTTGAGCGGTTCAACATGCAGAATTCCAAGCCTGTGAGCACACCACTTGTTGCTCATTTTCGTCTTTCTACAGCTTTATCACCGTAGTCCGAAGAGGAGAAGGAACACATGTCACGTGTTCCTTATGTTAGTGCAGTTGGTAGCTTGATGTATGCAATGGTTTGCACTCGCCCTGATATTTCACATGCAGTCAGTGTAGTTAACAGATATATGGATAATCCAAGAAAAGAGCATTGGCTAGCCATGAAGTGGATTCTTCGGTATTTGAAAGGTACTGCAAATATTGGCTTAGTTTATTAGAAGAACAATTATAATTTTGGCAATGTTGTTGGTTTTGTGGACTCCGACTACACTAGTGATTTAGACAGAAGAAGATCTCTGATAGGATACGTCTTTACTCTCTCAGGTTATGCAGTTAGTTGGAAAGCAACTTTGCAATCTACAGTTGCTCTCTCTACTACAAAAGCAGAATATATAATGGCCACTGAAGCAGTGAAAGAAGCCATTTGGTTAGTGTTTTGGGTTTGCAACAGAGCTCAACTATTATTTATTGCGACAGTCAGAGTGCGATATATTTGACCAAAAATCAAATGTATCATTGGTTAACCAAACACATTGATCTTTTATTCGAGATATCATATCAGAATGAATTACTACATTGAAGAAAATTGGTACAGCTGAAAATCAGGCGGATATGATGACAAAGTCCATTTCGGCTTTCAAGTTCAAGCATTGCTTGGACTTAGTATTCTCAAATGTTGAAATTGCCCTTAGGGGCTTAGGGGAGAAGACAGTTTGTTTTGCAGAGATACAGTGGCTCATTTGAATTTTCGTCAAGGTGGAGATTTGTTGACTTTTGTGACTCAATTATGATGTTAGCATTTATATCACCTCTTGCATCACTCATTACTTCATCATACTTGGCAGCCAAGGTGTGTATTCAGCAAGCTACTCCATCCGTGGTCACCAAGTTCACAAACAGTGTGATGACATTTTGGCTATAAATAACCTTGCTCCCATGGTGTTTTATCATCCAACAATTGAGTGAGATTCCTCAGTAAAGTGTTTGAGAGTTTGGGTGTATTTTGGGTTTTGGGTGTGAGTCACTCAGCCTTGTATCTCTATATTTCTATAGTGAAAAATTAATCTGTCTTCTCCCTGTGGACGTAAGCACATCAGAACCACATAGATCTTTGTCTCGTTTGTGTGTGCGCTATTTTATTTTTTCTTATTATTTATTTTTCCTCTTGTTCTCATAAACCCCTATTCGATCCTTATTTCGTAACAATATATTTTCTTTTCTCATCCACGATCTCTCTTTTGATGGAAGGTGTGCAAGCCCCACGATGATAAATAAGTCCTAATTAATTTATGGTTGAGACAGAAAAAAAAAAATGTAAATTGATTACTTTAAAAATATAAATTTAGAGGGGTCAAATTTTCAACCCAAAAATAACAAACTTACACATTTTACCCTTTTGCAGACTTGATCCGTCAACCTTTCTTTAAAAATTAGAACAAATACCACTTAGTTACAACATTTGGTGATATATTTAGTAATGTGCATTGTTAATTGTATTAAACTAAATATTATTACTTTATAATTAAATTAGATATTATTTTAGTTCATTATTAATTGTTCAAAGTTGATCCCACTAAAACTTATTTTTAGCTCGGGCTGGGTAGTCTTTCCCTTTTTCAGAATAGACACGGGCCATATATATATATATATATATATATATATATATATTTTGTATGAAGTACAAAGTGGTAATTTTTTTTTTTTTTTTTTTGCCAACACATGAAATTTTTGCAATGCGTGTAATGGGGATTTTCAGCAATTCATATATTTTTTCTTCTTTAATTGATTTATTCTTACCTTTCAAAAAATAACACAGATTTTTTATTTTTTTCGGGGCAAAGAAAATCCAATATAGATCTTGCACACTTACAGAGAGTCAATTGTTTGACTTAACATATCATGTTACGCGGTTTCAATAATATTGTTGGAGGAAGAAAGAGCATTAAGCAATTCACATGTTTATGTTCCAATCACAATCACAGGTAGTCTCTCACTCTCATTGTCAATCATCACATTTATCTCATTGTCTTCTTTATACAAGTGGGCATTCAGGGGTCCCACATATCTCCGTGTATTGATCTCGTGGATTGAATATTCAAATAGCAAAAAAGTAATGACAATTATGATTTTTTGATTCTTTTACCAGACACTGACAAGACGACCAATGAAAAGATAATGACGGCATCTTTATATAGTATTCTATACATTTTCACTCGGTTCCCTCCCCCTTCCCCTGAAAACCAATTATAATTCAATGAATCACTGAAAACTATGTACTCCCTCCGTATCTTCCCAAAACAAAAAGTACTCCCACCGTCTTAATGGAAGTAGACAATTTTATTTTATTTTATTTTATTTATTTATTTCTGTGAAATAGGGAGAGTATTTCAATTTTCATACACAAAATATGATTTTAGGTCTTGACAATGCTGGTATTGAGTAGAGTTTTTCATAATATTTTAATTTTTGAGAAGTGTTAATTACATTCACGCATGAGCTTTTATTTTTATAATAGTCTACAAACATTACTTTTTTAGACAAAATACCCTTTTAAATTATCTGATCTTTTTTCTTATCTTCTCTTTTAATAATCCATATGGAATGTGTGCGTGTGTGTATATATAGAAAGAGAAAAAAAAAATTAGATCGGATAATCCATTCACAAGAGATGGATTCTAAAAAATAAATAAATTAATTCAAAAAAAAAAAAAAAAAGAATCTATGTACAAAATAGATTCTGAGATTTAAAAATATATATATACAAAATTAGTTTTATATATGTATATATTTCTTTTTATAATTATCTTTGGTGAATGAATTATTTCCTTTTCTTTTTTAAAATCCATTTATACAAGGATTGTTGTAAAAATAAAAACAAAAAGAAACATATATATATATAGGAAAAAACAAAAAAAGAAAAGAATTCATTCACTCAAAGATAGGTATAAGAAGAAATATATAATTGATCTCAGAATCCATCTTTTACATGCATAGATTCTTTTCTCGCTCTTTTTTTTTTTTTTTTTTCCTCCTTCCTTTTATTTTTCGTAAGAATCCATCCATATGTTGTGAATGAATTATCCTATCTACTAGGGCTGATCACGGATTGGATCGGTTCGGTTTAAGGTAAAGTTCAATCCAATCTGGTCCCTACGGATTGGTGAAATTTGAAACCAAACCGATCCGTGAGGACTTTTAATCCGAACCAAACCGATCCATGAAGTAACGGATAGGATCGGTTCGATTTCCATGGATTGGGTTTTTCAAACAGACCAATATGATTACAATTTATGGCCTATTAAAATCTCAAATTAGTAATTAAAAATAATGACTAATGACTTTGGTAACCTAAGGTTAACTTAAAGTCTTAAATAATGAATAAAAAAAAAAATAGAAATACAATAAGTATATATATAGTTATATATATATATATATATATATATATATATATATATATATATAATATTAATATATAATTAAGTTAAGGGATGGAATCAGTTTTTTCAGGGCGCAATCTGTTATCCGAACTGCGAATAGCGGATTGCTATTTTTCTAAACTATCACTGAATCATGAAATCTGAAAACCGAACCGAACCACAAGGATCATATTGATTCGGACCCGATTGACTGATTATTTGCTCACCCCTACTATCTACATTTTTTTTTTTCCTTTTTCAAAATTCATTCACATAACACTAGTTACATACATATGCACATTAAAAGAGGAGTGAAGAAAAAATATTAAATAATTTAAAATGGTATTTTTGTCTAAAAAAGTAATATATGTTTGTAGAATATCATAAAAATAGAAAATCAAATAATTAATGCATTTAAAAATAACCAATCCTAACTATAATTGTGAATGGACAATCGCTTTCGTGGCTGCAATTAACACTCCTAATTTTTAGTTACCTAAATCATAAAATTGTTATCAAACAAATCGTAACTTTTTCATGGATGTCTAGCAACTAAATGTCATTAGTTAATGTTGGCGGGCATTCTTGTGAGGTGCATATATAGTGGAGAAATTAAACCGAAGACATGCCCTCTAATGGAGACCCAACTCCTCTGTAGGTTGGAGTCGGACGTTGGCTTCTGTCCACTACTCAATCTCAAACAAAAAGCCATTATTAATCTAAAAAAAAGACAAACAATTACGCTTTCCATTAATCTCTAGAAACTAAATGCCATTATTCAATGTCGGTATGCTTGTGAGGTGCATAGAGTAAGATAAATTAAACTGAAGACATGCCCTCTAAGACACGCCATACGCATACAGAATGATATTGGTCTCACTCAGAGTCTCACAGTTATTTGAAAGTGGTCCTCATTTCATTCTCTAATAGTTATTTGAAGAAATTAAGAAAATCCAGAGTTTGTGTGGCAGGCACCTATAGGCTCTAGGTCTCATGGCTTCTTTCATTCTAAAATCATTTTTACTACTACTTTCAATCATCTTCTCAGCATCTTCTTTTACTACTAGTAGTAGTACTTCTTTAGATTCACATACAAGATCTGTGTGCAAGTCCACACCATACCCAGATGTTTGTTTCGACTCATTGAAGCTCTCCATCTCCATAAACATCAGTCCCAACATCATTACCTATCTCCTCCAATCCCTCCAAAATGCCTTATCGGAAGCAGGAAAGCTCTCCAACCTACTCTCCACGGCTGGAGAAGCCTCAAATCTCATCGAGAAACAGAAGGGAGCTATCCAAGATTGCAAGGATCTCCACCAAGTCACAATGTCTTATTTGAAGAGATCGGTGTCTCGTATCAGTGGCACTTCATCATCAGGTGCTCAGAAGCAGAAAATAGACGATGCGAAGGCGTTCCTTACTGCAGCTCTCACCAACAAGAACACATGCTTAGAAGGATTGGATTCCGCATCCGGTCCTTTGAAACCAGTCCTAGTGAATTCCATGATTAGCGCTTACAAGCATGTAAGTAATTCACTTTCGATTCTCTCTAAGAATACAGGCACTAGCAGTAGTACTACTGGTACATCAAACGAAGGTCATGGTAACCGCCGTCTAATGATGGCCATGGGTCCTCCTAAATGGCTGTCCCGGAAAGATCGCCGAATTTTGCAGACTTCTTCTTCTTCTATGGATGAATATGACCCGAGCCAGGTGATTTGGGTGGCTACAGATGGAAGTGGAAACTTCAGCACCGTCACTGAGGCCATCGACTTTGCTCCCAACAACAGCTATGATAGAACTATAATCTATATTAGACAAGGGGTGTACGAAGAAAATGTGGAAATTCCAAGTTATAAGCCTAACATTGTTCTGCTTGGGGATGGAAGTAATGCCACTGTTATTATCGGTAACAGAAGCGTGGTGGATGGTTGGACTACATTCAGATCGGCCACTGTTGGTAATATATTTAAACTTAAAACTTCATTTTCTTCGATCTCTGATTAACCTACTACTCTACCACTCAATTTCATCATCTTTATATATATATATATATATATATATATATATATTTGTGTATATGGAAGTGGATCATCCCCTAGCTGGCTAGCTACCCAGGGCCGGCCCTGAGATTGAAAAAATCTCGATAGACTCAAGGTGGACTTTAAATATGAGGCCCTATATACATAATTGATATGCTTGCCCTAATTTTTTTTATTTTGGCCCCTTTTTGCTGCATTTGGTTAGACCCATTATATATATATATATATATATATATATATAATTTTTTTTTTGGTAGCCCATCAGTCCTGAGGCCCTTGGCTGCGATTATAAATTTTTTTTTTGGTGGCCCAACATTCATGGCCTATAAATTTTGATTTGCTGCATTTGGTTGTAACCTTTTTTTTTTTTTTTTTTTTTTTGTGGCCCATCATACATGGGCCTATAAATTTGGAGGCCCCTTATACTTTGAGGCCCTAGGCGACCGCCTTGGTCGCCTTGGGCCAGGGCCGACCCTGTAGCTACCACACGTTGCTTAATTGGAACAATTAATTTAACCATGCACCAACTGTTAAGCAGATGAGAAGTAACACATACAAACCGATTGGGACTTACTTTTATTAATTTCTCATGTTTAATTAATTAATTTCAGCGGTTTCTGGCGAGGGATTTTTGGCACGTGACATAACCTTTGAGAACGGGGCTGGGCCGGGGAAGCACCAGGCAGTTGCACTTCGCATTAATGCGGACTTAGCTGCAGTGTACAGATGTACCATGAATGGTTACCAAGACACGTTGTATGTCCACTCCTTTCGACAATTTTACCGGGAATGTGACATTTCTGGGACCATTGATTTTATATTTGGAAATGCAGCTGTTGTCTTCCAGGCATGTAGCATCATTTCCAGAATGCCAATTCCTGGCCAATTCACCGTCATCACAGCACAATCCCGAGACACTCCGGACGAGGATTCCGGGATCTCTATACAGAACTGTTCTATTGTGGCTACAGATGAATTGTACTCCAATTCTGGCAACGTCAAGAGTTACCTTGGGAGGCCATGGAGAGTGTACTCTCGCACAGTCTATATTGAGTCCTTCATTGATGACTTCATTGTCCCAGCAGGGTGGATTGAGTGGTCTGGTGACCAAGGCTTGGACACGTTGTATTATGGAGAGTATGAAAACACCGGGCCTGGTTCCAAGACTGGGAATAGGGTTACTTGGCCAGGGTATCACATAATGGATTACTATGATGCATCTAATTTTACCGTTTCAGAGTTCATTACTGGGGATGAATGGCTCGATTCTACTTCATTTCCTTACGATGATGGCATTTAAAAGCTTAGTTGTTCCTGTTTGGCCTGTAAAAATGGTTGGTTCCGATGGAACCGGATAAGCGTGCCAGAAACTGCTATAGTTCTAAATAAAGATCCAAACAATATTCCATATAGAAGATTGCAAGACCAGGCGATTGTGATGAGGTCTGGAATGAACACCTCAGGGTTCTTTTTGCCTTTGAGAAAGGCCTTTGAGAGTGCTATTTGGCTAGGAAGGAATGCGCTACTTTTGAAAGTAAAGGATTTGAATGTATAATATTGTAATGTAAAACAATAGAGTGCAGGACTTAAGCTAGACATGTTGAAGTTGCATTGCAATGAAAATATGAATTGTATTGAAATGTTGTATGTGTTGTGTGTGTTGAACAGGCTTTATACGTTACAACATAATGACTTATTTATAGAATTATAAAATGACAGTTAATAGAATAGTTCCATGCAGTTCCATTGTTAACTTTAGATGCTTCCAAGTGGATTGGATAGATTTACGCCATGTGTCTCATTATTCTCTTCAATTCTTCTGAAGCTTCCATGTGCCCAAGCCATACAATTATGCTTTTAAATATTGTATTTCTCAAATAAACTGTTTCTTTTGTTTGAGTAATGACCACTATTCCTTCTTTTCAGGATGGTGGTAGTAGTGGCCCACGATTAAACTGTTAGTGCTTGTTGCATCGTGGCTTTTGGAAAAACTATTTTGCATGTTTTTAGGAACTCCAACTTGTATGCTAGAATTCCCATAGTTGACACATTCCATTGACTAAGTCAGTCTCCTTGTGTATACGTGGATTTTCCTTTTGGCTTTGTGGTGGACTTTGTGACGTTTCTGATTTTCCCATTTTTCAATTATTTTGATTTTCCGAGGGTATTTTCGACTCGCCTCGTTTTACATGCCGAACGCTGTGGGGTGTGCCGGATATGTTCAGAGTGTTGGTTGGAACGGTTCTTTGAGTTCAGGACTCTCGGAAATGCATCGGTTGCCATTTCGATATTTTGCCATTTTTCGGACGGGAGGTCTCAGGTGGAACCCGCTATCGAGGTTGTTATGCACGGGGGTTGTGTCACGGATTCATTACATTTCATGCATTGTTATTTTATGCATATTTATATAGTTGTATATTAATTGTGTGGTTGTAATTTAATTAGAATATATATATATATATATATATATATATATATATGCATATTTTGTGATGGAAATTGTGTTTGTTAAAAGTTGTGGGACTCGCATAGCATTGGCCAATTTGATGCCCAAATGGTCATCACCAAACCATTCACCAGCTCTCTCTCTCCAAGCCAGTTCTCTCTCTGCTTCCCTTTTTCTTTTCTTTTTATTTTCCCACCAATTCAAGCATTGATCTCTCTCCACCACTTGGAATTTGATGAGGCCGTAGAAGGCAAAGTCGGAGAACTCAGCGAGATTTACAAATTGATTGGAGCAAAGTTGGAATTGGGTGACTTAGGTGGAATTCGAAATTGGGACTTTGGCTTCAAATTGAGGTAGAGTTGTTTAATCGTCATATTCCTTGAGTTCGGTAGTTGGTTCGATGTTTTCCCTTACCTTAAATGTGCAAATTTGATGTCTAATTATGTGACTTGATTTTAGGGTTTGGTTTATCTTTAAACTGTGTCAAATTGATGTGTTCCATGGGGCTATATGTTATCTCGAGTATCTATTGCAAGGAATATGTTGTCAATTTACTATGTGGTGTATTGGATATTTATATATATATATGGTTGTTGTGATGTCTTTGGTTACTCACACGCTAAATGATTTCTTGAATGTTGAAATATGCTCAAATTATAAAATTTATCTTGTTGTGGCCATAGAAATATTATTTGTATGGAGAAAGCATGATGATTTCTTATTGAATAATTAAAGTTGAAGCATATTTAAATGCATAGCATAAGGGTATTCATAGGGTTGAGAGGATGTGGATTTGATGTGTGGATACACGAGGATGTGGTTATGATGTGTGGATACTTGAGGGTGTGGTTGTGACGTAGGGTTGCATTGGGAATTTTATGCATTTTATGCATTATCTTGCATATGTATGGTATGATGATTATTGGAATATGGAAGTGTTGTATGTGCTCATTCCTCTACATTTTTCAGGTTACGGGAAAGAGGTAGCGGACAACACTCCCCCACAAGCTTAGTTGGGTTGGATGGGATTTTTGGTTTATCCTTGTAATTGATGTATTTACCTTCAATTTGTTGTAAAATTTGTATTGAATGGTATTTTGTATTCATTGCATGGATGGGAATTCATTTTGATTTAAAGTTGTAAATGTAAGGCCTTAAGTTGTAAATGTAAGGCCTTAAGGCCATATTTTGATGTATTGGGCTTGTATTCGGTTTAATTGAAGGCACGAGAGTTTAATTATGTTTTATATACTATCAAATATATGATTTGGGATAGGTTTGGGCTTTGGAAAAGGTCACTAAGGGACCAAATGGGGTGCCCATGTGTATGTTCATAGTTTTAGCCCTTTTCTGGGTAAAATTTTAGGTTCTGGTCATCTGGAACCGGTTCAAGGGGTGTTTTTGGTTCACAGTTGGGCACACTGCCCATCTTGAACTGATTCAGGGTCATTGAACCAGTTCAGGACCTCTAGTACCCACTTTTGCCTTGTCAGTTTGTTAGCTTTGATCATCTGACTTCGTGCGGTTATAACTTCTCATTTCAAACCCAAATTGGGTCATTCTTGAGTCCATTTTTAAGGATTTTGAGTTAGTTTTCCAATGACACCAACCCCATCTTCAAATTATATTCATGCTAGGAGATATGGATATTTTAGTGAGACAGTGTCGAGATTTCCCTTGAACCGAGTAAGGGCACTATTGGGAAATCATTATCAATGACCGTAGAACTTCTTTAAATGTCATGGAATGACTAAAATGATTTTTTTAAACTTCATTTGACTAGTTTAAGGACATACTATCCTTGCTTGTTTTAAAATAACCATTTTACACCTAGTATGTCCTGGGGTTCGGGTAAGGACCCGGTTAGTGATTCGAACCTCGGGTTTGGGTCATTACAGACTCTCAGTGCTCTTCTACTTCTTAAAGTCCCCATCCTCATGGACTCCTTTTAATCAGTTGTTAATCTTTTGCGTACAACATGGTGGTTTATTGCAAGACCAAAGCTTGCAAAGTGGACTAAGATGAGTGTGGCCAAGTTTTACATTTATAATTTGCCACTACTACCTTTCACTAAAAATATAGTTAGGGCGAGTAGGGATCGTCCCAAGGGATTGGTGGGTCATATTAGGTTGTGGAATCGAAATTAGGGTTAGTAGGTCGAGTGATCAAAAGATTGGTTGGTGATTGAATTATACTAAGATGCAATTTAAACTAAAGTAAACAATTAAATGCAATAGAGAGAAAATAAGAGAGAGAGAGACCTTGGGGTTTAGAGATCACTACTAAGATTAGCTTTTCTACACCCTTAATGAATGATTAATGAGGGGGAAAACATGTATTGCAACAATAGTGTGTGTGTGTGTGGTTGTTTCAACAAACATGGATGACTAATTAAGTATATATTATCTAAGCAATATAGTGGATAGCACAATATATCAAACTAAGCCATTAATCATTTCTTTAAGCTCACAATCCAAACACATCACAAGGTTAGAGACATATGCTACTTGTTTTCATAAGTATAGAACATCAAACAACAAGCATGGATTGTCCTCCCATTTAACATTTAAAGTACAACTACACTACAATTAAGCTAATAACATGAAATTAAACTAATTAAACTAAGAGAGAGGCACATTCCATCAAGAAATGAGTATGAACCATCAAATAAACCACAAGAGCATTCTATTAAGCATCATGTCTTGACAATCTCTAGATCTATAGGATCAATACACATAGACATGCATCAATAATACAAAATCTAAAGACAAACACATGAACATCTATTCTAGCATACATAGACATATGAATATAATGACATGATCAATTGGAAGCATTAAACCACACAAATCATTGAATAAACAAGATCTATGTATATAAAAATGTTAAAACATATATCACAATACAAATCCCCTAAAAAATACATAAATCAAGATATAGAAAGCATGCTTAGGGCTAACTCTAGCCCCAAGAGGATGTCTAGCCACTCATGGATGGTGTCCATAAACCCTCAAGGGCTAACTGCATGGTAGAAAGTGCTCCTCTTCTTGGTTGATGGAAGAACTCCAAGCTTATGTCTCTAGCCTCCTCTTTTCTTTTCTTCCTCAGTAAGAATATGATATGGAAATTATGCTAAAAGTCTCCTTTATAAAAACTTGCTCATATTCCTTATATAGGTAGGTCAAATGTCACCCCCAATGACCTGGGCTCGTACACCAATATTCCTCCAATGATTGCACCATGAGCCAACCTTTAATGAGCTGGATTTTATTTTTTTTTCGGGCTTGAGGAAGTTCGATCAATCGAACTTGTGGTGAGATCGATTGAATATGGCTGAGATCTATCAAACTTTGGCTGGATCAATTCTCCCATGGCGGCGCCTTTTTGGATAAGGACAGATCTGAGATATTTTGGGGAAAGAGACAAAAGTGGTAGATGGGGTGGTACAACAGGATAAGATAGAATCTTTTTGATCGATCTGAGAATTGTTGGATCGATCAAACTTTGTGGGATCTTTGGATAAGGACAAAAGAGCTTGGATCCATCTTGAAATGTCTAGATCGATGAACTTTCGATCGATCGAAATATACTTGTGATCGATCGAACCTACTGAATTCCATACTTTGCTTTAATCTGCTTCCACTTTGCTCCTTTCTTCCATCCAGCTTGAGTTAGCTTCTTTTAAGCTCTTATTTGGCTGAATTAGTTTATTTTGGGGATAAGCACCTAAAAAGGGTAATAACATGAAATTAGTCTAAAACGGGAAAGTAAGATAGATAAAGGTCCTAGAATACCTAAGCTTAAGGGGTTTGAATACGCACTTTTCAGTGCTCATCACACCCCTAAACTTAAATATTGCTAGTCCCTAGCAATGAACTACACAGTAAAGGAATGAAATGAACAACTATACAACTATGAACTAGAAAGTAATAAATGGATACACGATTAAATTTAGCATATACAACAAGTCTTTTAAACCCTTAGGTTACCCCTAGTGGATGAGTGAAGTTTCGTGAGGGTTTCCAGAAATGATACCCACAAACATTAAGCTCAATATCACAAAAGAGGTACCAATATTGCAAACAAGCATTGGGAGAAAACTACCTTAAGTATTGTAATACCCCTAATTTTAAAAAGGATATAATGGAAATTTAATTAATTATTTATGTGCATTTTAAATTGATAAATTGATTATTTGTTTTGTGTGCATTTAAATATGATTTATCTGGCTAAGTGGTTAATTGTTTTACTTGTTTAAAATTGGTATTGTGTATTTGTTTTATA